TATACCATCAGATATTTGAGCCTTGTGCTACCGTGCCTGTGGAGATGGTTTTAAGCCTGGCTACCAATTATCAGCTAAAGCTGTTGCTATGATTATGCAGTATATTTTAAACTGTAAAACCACAATTCTTCCATACCCATTAAAAGTCAATTGATCTCTCTAAAGTTATGTGTATAAAAATGATAGCAAAAAACCCTCATCCACAGTTGTCAACCTGATTAGATTGTTTAAAAAATTCAGGTGTATTTAATTTGATTGATTTTTCCCAAATTTAATTGGAGTTTATCAGGAGCTGAAGGGCATTAAAAGGTGGTCATATGCCATTGTGTGCATTTTCTTTTTTTTTTTCAATCTTCTTCTGACTTCATATATGCATGTGTGTATATATAAACTCACCCTCCGCTTAAAGGAAAATAACCATTCAGAAATCTGAACAGGTATAGCATCAAGTGACCGTACCTACTAAGAGTGGGATAAAGGAACATTGAGACTTGGGTTTACATTTTTGCTCTGCCACTTACAAGTTGTATCTGCCTCGAAATTTTACCTCTCATCTATAAAATGGGAATAATAATAGTATTTACTCTCGGGTCCATGAGGTAATGGCAGCTACCACTTAATAAGCCTGGATTGCATGTACTATTCTAAGTATTTTAAGTAAGATAATGAATGCAAAGCACTTAGCATAGTGCCTGGGACATGCAAAGTGCTTTGTAATTGGTAGGTATTTTTAATTAGTATTTTCATAATAATGAAAATGATAAGATAAAGTAGATAACCGATTCTTCATAGCTTGAATCTCTTTTAGTAAATTTCTTTAAATGTTCAAATAGTAGAATATCTCACATTGCAATAAGTAGAAATCTGTAACCCCAAAGAACTTTTAAAGGCAAGAATATTTAAATAATTAATTGGAAAAATAAAAGATGCAGTTAAGAATATAGCCAAAATAAAAGAAAAAGAACCAGCACCCACAAAGTTAATTTAAAATGTAAGAGCTGGGGATAAAGACAACTAGTTACCCCTGTGAAACCGGAGACAGTGGTTGAAATGTTTCCTTTCATCGTATGCCTTTTTATATTCTTTAAACGGGCTTGAATGCGCATATATTTCCTTTTCGAAATGTGAGTTTTTAAACAAATGGAAGAGAAGATGGCAAGAAAGAATTTTATTGTTTGAGAGTAGTTTGATTTCTCCGGAACTACTAAAATTATATAACCTTATTATACAAGAAGATGTATACCCTAGAACTATCAAGTGAATGGGCAGATGCTCTTCCAATTTTTCCCACAATGGAAAAATTTAACTTTTGGAAACTAACATAGGTAACCTTATGAGTAAGAAGGTTCAGTAGAGAAAAAATTTTTTTAATTTTCTACAAACATTTAGAGCAGATAGTGGTTATTACTGATATATATGTTCAGTTATTTTAATGTATTTGGATGACATATTTCCCTAGTTCTAAAGATACATAGGTATGACTGACCTAAAAACAGCAATTTGAACAGAAAAATTCTGAAAGTTTTCGCTGCCTGAAAATGCAGCCTTTTTCAGAAAATGTTTTGTTGTAGAAAGTTGGAAAATAGAAAGAATACAGAAATATTTAGTCCATAGTAGAAATTATCTGTGCTTTCTCTGCCAAAACATAACCACCATTTGTGTTGTTTACTCAGTACTATAATGTAAACATTTTCCAGTGGCACTGAAAATATTTGAAACATGTACAATAACTCTGTCACATGCATGTACTATAATTTATTTAAGCCAGTACCTGCTGACATTAAGTTGTTTCCAACATTTTTCCATTATACCTTATCCTGTGGACAAGGGTAAGTGTTATATGCAGCCTGTAGCATTAGATACATTTATTTATTTATTTTTTTATTTATTTTTAAATATGGAACGCTTCACATATTTGCGTGTCATCCTTGCGCAGGGGCCATGCTAATCTTCTCTGTATCGTTCCAATTTTAGTATACGTGCTGCCGAAGCGAGCACAGCATTAGATACATTTAAATGTGAGGATCCCGGCTGAGGGAAATTTATTTTTGTAACATTTAAAAAGAAACTGCCTTGATTACTATATGTTCAGTGCAGGTAATCATTTTGCATACTTGTATTTTTCATGTAGCACCCACCTTGCCTCGCAATTATGTGTGTGTTTGTCACCTTCACTACTATACTGTAAGTTCCCTAAAAATCAAGATTCTGTTTTATTCATTTCTGAATATTCTGTAGTGATACATATAGAATACAGGCTGGAATTTAATTAAAACATGATTCCGCTGCTGAGTAACTCATACAAGTTTAGATTGCTTTAATTAAATATGATGTCCAAAGTCAGGAAACCTAGGTTTTAGAGCACCAAAATCAGAATAAATCTAACTCTAGCAAATACCTGACATTTTAAAACTTGGAAATAAGATTTATCAGAGTCATGATTATCAATCTTCAGATCTTTAAGACTGTCGGATAGAAACAATACTCAATTTACTCTGTGTTGGTTCAGGATTCAAAACAAACTTTAAATGAACCGAGCCATAATAAGGGAGGCTTCTACTAGGTGTAAAAACTTTGCCAATGGGAAGATTGGCTGCCATATTCCAGAAGGAGTTATCTGCTTCTGGGAGTAGTAAATCCTACAGTAAGTGGAAAGCTATACTAAATGACCTCCATAATCCCTCCTTGTCTATATTTCTAATGATTCTAACATATAATTAAGTGTTTACAGTCAATAACTAAAAGCCATGGGGAAATTTAGTACACGACCATTTGGTTTTTATTCTGATTATATGGAGTAGGTTTTGAAAGTAATTATTAGTTTGTTATATATAACAAATTATATCCTATGGTTACAGGGTCAATGCACAGTTGTTTTTTTTTTTTTTTTCATTATTCCATCCCAAAGGAAACAAAGGAGTATTTTCAATTATAGTACAGTAATGATTATAGTGTAGAACAATTACAGATTTATGTCTTACTATTATTTTATTAAAAATGATTGGTTTTTCTTAGAAGGTTTTCTATATTTCTAAAGGCCTTTTTGTAGTATATGATGTTGCCATTTCTCCATACCTTACTCTCAGTGGGCCCATCTACCCAATTTCAGAAATATCAATGAGAAAATATAATACTACAGGAATTAACTTCACAGCCAAGTATCCAGTAGCACAAATGTTTCATAACATTAGATACAACTGTAAACAATATGTTTGCATTTTCAGAATTTCTGCATTCTGGTGCCTCCACATACAAAATTAGAAAATTTCCCCCTGAACTATATTCTCTTCAAGCCATCATTGTATGCAAAAATAACTTGCTCATGGTTAAAAAATATTACTCTGAAAAAATTAAATGCTCTTGGAATCCTCCTTAAAAATGACATTTTTTTTAAATTAAGGGTAAACTTAGTTTCATCATGTAATGATCATTTTGGGTTAAAGACAGGTAGGTTTGAGGTTATATTTTAAGCATTTTTTTTAACAGCTGTGTTACTTTCTGCCTTCATTTTGGTATAACTTGTCAACAGACTATATAATTATTGTTTGAGGCTCAATGATGGATTCTAAATAATGAATATATGGAGATCTTAAAGAAGATAAAACTTGTCTTGACATAGGCAGAAACTCAGTACCTCTTAATGTCCTTAAAAAAAAAACTATTTAGGCTACCAAAATAGAAGTCTCTAAGGCCTTGACATGTGTAAGGGTAGCACTTCTACCCTTGTCAAAAGCAATTTTTACCCAAGACATCATGACAAAAGATTTCATTACTCCACTGTCAATTGCCTCTTCGGAAGCTGCAATAAGAAGATCCTGAGGCTTCTCTGATTTCCTCCCCATTGAAGGAATCAGTCATGTGTGAGGCACGGAGGTTATCCCAAACCCTTTCCATTATTTCTTGGCAAGTTCAGGAAAGTCAGTCAAAGTAATCTTGACCTCAACCGGATCCCTGGCTCTGTGCATATCAAGTAACTATAAGTGGATCTAATGCAGGCCTGTTTTGGTCTCTTTGTAAATAGGTCTTCCAAATGATTTAGATTACTAAAAGGGTAATAATGATTAACATCTCAACTGGTAACTATTCAGTTCTAATAACAGGAGGGCTGTGAGACAGAGAGCGGTGGTTGAGGAAGGAAGGAAAAGTATCTCGCCATTATATAGCTAATCTGGTAATGCCCATTTACTGAGGTGATGGCTTCTCAGGATTTGGGTCACACACCATATTATTCCAAGGAGTGATGATCTGTGCTTAAAAGATAATTTTTAGAAGTATGAACACAAAGTTAGCGTGATTCTAAACCAGGAAGTATCTTTAATGCTAACTTTGGAGACTCAAATATTTTAACATACTCATTAGTTAAACAAGGGTGGTGTGCTTTTTAGCTTTTGAATAACATTCAGGTTAAATGTACTGGACTAATAGGCACTTTATGTTAACCTTTTATTGTAATTTTAAAGGACATTGTACTTATTTGATTAAAAAGTCACTTATTGTAAAGTTCAAAAGATTTTATTTAAAAATTTATGGACTATAACTAATTACTATATATGATAACCAAAGATGCATTCAACACACTAATAAACATCTGTAGTTGGTCAAGGTGATGAAATTGGTGCTGGGATACCTTAGTAAAATTTACATTAACGTGGTAAACACTTAAAACAGCATGTTTAATTAACTGTCAGAGTGACACTCTGACAAAACTTAGGTTTTGTTCCTTTGCCTCCCCCCCTTTATTTTCCATAGTTTGACCAATAAATTGAAGAGACACTAAGTTTACTTCCGGTTTTGAGATGACTTTCCTTTGTGATTTAAGTCAACATAATTTAAGTCAGATAAAACAATTTGATTTGGGTTCAATATGGTGCTATTTTGATCTGAAGGTCAATTTACCAACAAGCAGGAACAGTTTCTCATTATTTTCCTTCACCACTCCAAGTAGGCTTTACTGAAGTCTTTCAAACAGTGTGTGACCTCTGTTTCAATACTTCTCCCAGATTTCACAGGCTGTCACCACCACTCAGCCATCACTAACACAGACAACTGTAATGGAAACGGTAACTATGGTGACCACGAGGGAACAAATTCTGGTAAAGCATGCCCAAGAGGAACTGCCACCGCCACCTCCCCAAAAGAAGAGGCAGATTATTGTGGATTCGGAAATTAGGAAAAGGTGAGAGGCTCTTATTCATGGCTTTATCCTCAAGCAAAAAGTAATTGTTAAGCAGGAAAGCATTTATAGCTGTTTGGATCGCAGTGTTTTTACTTAAACAATATTTCCAGAAGCCTCAGGTACCTGACATGGCCGTTAAGTTAGAAAATTGTGAAATAAATTTTAAAATTTGCCCAAGGAATCACCATCCCAACCAAAACTGAATGCTCAGTGGAAATATTGTTTTCTGGATTAAAAGAGGAAACCACGTGTGATGAACTGCCATGGACTCATTTTATCCTGAAAGTTTCTTTTTTTTTCTCTTACAAAGAACCTACTTGTTCAGTGCCTCCCTTTGCATTAAATGTCTTTTTTTCCCAGTAGTAGAAAGTACACTTTCATGAAGAAGAAGTACACCTATAATAGATGAGATCCATTCTGCTAGTTTATGAGAACATAATGTCTCAATCTGCACATCCTAAATCAGGAGTAATTACACAATAGATTTCCTGTTCTTTGATATTTTTAAAGTCTTATCTTGAAGGTGTTAGAATTTTTAACTCATCTTTTTGTGGATATTTTCAGCTAGACATTATAGATAAGTTAGGTATTAGGTACATCAGTGGCTATATTAAAATGATGAGAATAAAATTTCATAAATGCAAAACTAGCATGAAAGTCATAAAAAGGTACAATTTTTTTTCACTGCAATTATTATCATTCTAACATTAAGAAAGAACATTAAAATCTGCCTTATGTTTCTAAGCAGCATATGTTTAGGAAGGCATGGAACACTTGACATTAGAATTTATGTATACACGAGTATAGAAGTATGAGAAGAAGAACACATACCTAAAAATAGCACATCAGATGTTCTAGGCAAAGGAAAAAAAAACACCTAGAGAAGTTACTCAAGTATATTTTTTGGGACTTTCAATACTTCTCTTTTAATCTGTGATTTATAACCTGCTTTCATAATTATGCAGTCAACTGCTAGGCTTTTCTCCCTGGTTGCATCTACGTGGCTGAGTGAATCCTCTTGTCCAGTGGTTAACAAACTAAAGCCATTAGACTAAATCCACCTTGCTGCCAGCTTTTGTATGGCTCACAAGCTGAGAATTATTTTTACACATTTAAATGGTGGGAAATAATCAAAAGAAGAAGAATATTTCCTGACGTGAAAATTACATGAAATTCAGATGACAGTGTCCATAAAGAAGGTTTCATTGAAACATAGCCATAGTTATTTATTTATATGTCATCTGTGGTTGCTTTCACATTGCAAAGGCAGGGTTGGATAGTTGTCACAGAGACTGTATGGTCCACAAAGCCTTAAAATATTTACTATCTGGCCCCTCATAGATGAAGGGCCCCTGATTCTAGTCAAATGGTTCTCTGAATCTTTAAGAATTAACGTTCTATTTGGGGCAACAACTTTCAAGGACTCTGCTCATGGTAGTAGTTGAAATTTTAACATTGATGGAGAAAAAACATAATGGCAAAAATAAATCTGTAAAGCTCTTAATGAATCTGCTCTTTATTAACCCAATACCATAGATGTTAATTTCACATCATGTTAAGTATGTGTCTGCAGACAATGCTTAGTGGAGATATGGATTTATGGATCCTTTGCAACAACCCAACAGCTCTCCAACAATTTTCCAAGGAGAGCAGTATGGAAACCTAGTTGTCTTACCCACCTAATATGTTCAAGATTCTCCTAATACAGAAATTAGCAGAGCAGGTTGATTCATGTCAGTCTCTCTCTTGGCTCCTGCCAAGCATATTCTTGGCTTGTTCGGATAATGTATTTGGTTAAGAAAAATGTGTTTTGATTACTTTTTGTTTTCAGGAAAGTGTGGCTAGTGATGAAATATTTTGTCTCTTAAATTCTGTTTGCATCATATGTTGTCAGCAGTTTTTGTAAGTGCCTGAAATGAGATGACCAATTGAGAACATAAAGGATATATTACTTAAACAAAAACTAACACTTATTGATGGTTTTGTTATGTGCTCAGTGCTAGATTAAATGCTTTATTTGCTTAGCGTGTTTATTCTTCCCAATTATCCTACAGGATAAGTATAGCTATTATCACTATTATACACAGCTACAGAGTGCCTGAGCCAGGATTTCAACTGAGGTAGCCTACCACAGAACCTAGTTGGGGTACTAAAATGTTTCTTCAGTAGATATATGACTAAGGTGATCTTACATCTTGGTTTCCCTGAATCCATCCCAGGTTATGTCTTTTGTGACATCATAATTATATATAACATCAACTTTCACTCTCAAATATGTCCAGATTTGGATAGTACAATAATATGGATGCTTTGTATAAGACTCTAGATCAATAAATTTGTACTGAATAAAGAACACACACAAGTGAACATTTAGGACAATTCAGTTCAGTAAGTGGTAATTGTCTACAGGATGGAATCTGGTTAAAATGTTGTAATGGTTCAAGAGGCATCGTACAAATATGACTGTAAGCTTCACAGTAGCTAGTTTCCATCTCTTGATCATGTGAGAACTCCTAGATTTTAACTGTCAAGACTGTAGTCTTGACAATCCATTAAATGTTCATCTTTTAAAAATGATCTCCTTTTTCAGCTTCTCTGACACACTGCTGGTTCCATCCCTACCACAGACTTGTTTTCTAACAGAAAGCTCTAGGACCTTTTGCTTAATCATGGTAGTATCTCATAAATTCATGTTTTTTGCCTCTTTCCATTTCTTTATTTGAATTGCTTCCTTACCTTGATTCAAGTCTGGCTTTAAGTAAATGACTCCCAGATTGTACTTATAGCTCTATATCTGACTCTCTCCCTTAAATTTCATGTTTATTTCTTTAAAACTATGTTCTTCTACTTGTGCATCTAGTCAGCGCTTCAGTTTTGTTTTTGTGTTTTTTTTTTTTTAATCAAATGCAAACAGCTGTTGCCTCCATTTAACCACACCTAGTTACTCATACACTGTACAGGTATTTTACTTATTATAATTTGTTGTCTGTGAATCTGAAGGAGTGGCAAATATTGAAGAAAGTGTGGACTTTGGAATCAGAAATGCTCAAGTTTGAAACCTGCCTGTTTTAACTATTGGCTTATGATCGCAGGCAAACTGCCTAATACCTGTACCTCAAATTCACTATCCTCGCTTTATAAAATAATAACTGTGAGGCTTAAGTAGGAAGCGTTTGCTATAGTGCCTGTAAGGTAAGAGGAATTCAGGGAATTCGATGGCTGTCATTCTTGTCTTTTGGTTATGGTGGACATGGCAGGATTCGTGGTAGGCACGGCGGAGGTGATAGACATGGCAGAGGTGGTGGTGGAGACGGTGGTCCAGGTGGTGATGGTGGTAGAGGGGGCAGTGGCGCTGGGGGGGAAACGGTGATCATGTGCCATTGGTGAAAAAAGATTCCCTTGATAAAAACATCATCTCAAAGTTAAAGAATATAACAAAAAATTGCCTTCCCAACTTCCTCTTCAAAACAGAATTTACCACTTGACTTCTCTATTTCTGTCCATCTCTGCTCTCTTACCTTGCCCCTTATGTATTACTATTGCAGTATATTATTGGGCACATGACCATTTCAGTCATTTCCCTCCGGATCATTCTAACTGAAACTCCATAACCTAAGCCATATACTTCCATGTGCTAAGCCTTGGCCCCTTTCTGATTAATCCGTCTCAAATTAATATATCTAAAGTGTGGCATTTTATTTTTATTTTTCAAAGATTTTCTTTATTTGACAGAGAGATAGAGAGCACAAGTAGGCAGAGAGGCAGGCAGAGGGAGGGAGAAGCAGGCTCTCGCTGAGCAGGGAGCCCGACATGGGGCTCGATCCCAGGACCCTGGGATCATGACCTGAGCTGAAGGCAGCCACTTAACTGACCCAGGAGCCCCTAAAATGTGGCATTAAAAAAAAAGATTTTATTTATTTATTTGAGAGAGAGAGAGAGAAGGTGCGTGAGCATGAGCCAGGAAGGAGGGGCAAATGGAGAGGGAGAAGCAGACTCCCCGCTGAGCAGGGAGCCGCACATGGGGCTGGATTCCAGGACCCTGAGATCATGACCTTAGCTGAAGGCAGACATGTAACTGACTGGCCTGCCCATGTGCCCCTAAAATGGGACTTTTAGGCTGACCCTCCAGACTTGAGATCTTCATAACTCCAGTTGCCCCCAGAATAAAGCACAAATAACTTCTTATGATATTCAATATTATTGTCCCAGCAATTTTATTTCTACTTCCCCAGAGTCTTTCCACCTCAGCCAGTAAATTCAATTACATTCTTTATTTTTTTAAAGATTTTTTTTATTTTAGAAAGAGAGAGCATGTGTGCAAGGTGGGGGAGGAGCAGAGAGAGAGAGTGAGAGCGAGAATCCCCAAGCTGGCCCTCCATTGAGTGTGGAGCCTGACATGGGGCTCCATCCCAGGACTCTGAGACCATGACCTGAGCCAAAATCAAGAGTCAGCTGCTCAACCGACTGAGCCACCCAGGCACCATTACATTACAGTCTTTCACTATATGCCTTAATGTCACCTACATAAATTTTTCTCATCATCAATTACAACAAAGAAGTCCTGTTATTATCCTTTATTTTTTACCTAGATTCTGTATATAGTACCATGCATATAATAATCAATGAATATTTATTGAAAGAGTGAATAATGCAGTTCAATTAAGATAACTAAAATTTTATATTCTAATATTTGCACTTCAGAATTTTACCTAGTTCTTCATGGAATTGTTCTTAATAAGAAGCAAATGAACATTTTAATAATCCTTAGTAATTCTATCTTTACCCATTAGGATACCGTTTTTTACTCAAAACTATTAAGGGATTTAATATTCAGCTTTGTACCACATTAGTTTTTTAAACATCTAAGATGTGTTTAGTTGATTCCTTAATAATTATACAGTTTCCACTTTCGTTGTATTTACTGCATAAATTGTCCTCCTTACACTAAGATATACAAAAGTGTTAATGATCTTGGGTCACAGGGTAATTATTTTTAACAG